CACTTCACACATTGGATGTTTGCAGAGCCCTGGCTTTTTATACCTCCAGAACAAGACACTTCTTTAAAGCTAATAAGCTGTTTGTTACCTATCAAGGCTCTAAAAGGGGTGAACAAATCGTGCCCTGCACTTGTCAAAGCAGCTTGTGAGTACAATCTCACCCTCTTACCAGTTAGCAAAGAGACCAAGCCCTGTGTCCTTGAAGGGGCATTCTGTGAGGAGTGTTGCTGCCTGTACGGCTTTCCTGAAGGGAATCTAGCTAGGGGACATTTGCAAAACAGCAACATGGTCTCAACTTTTGCCATTTGTCAAAACACTACAGGTTGGATGTTAGGGCAAACTGCAGTGCTGCATTTCGAAGAGCAGTAATGTCATCAATGTTAGTGTGGCATCTCACCAGCTTGCCAGTCACCCATATGTGTGATTCAGAGACCACAAAGAAGAAGAACAGGTTACTTTCCTGTAACTGTGGTTCTTCAAATAGTCATCTATGAATGCACACAATCCACCCATTCTCCCCTTAGTTCACCATGCAACTCTTGTGCTTCCTGTATAGCAATGGAGTGTGGGTGGAGGGGATAACTGCTAGGTACGAGGGTGTGTGCAGGGGCAGGGTTCTTTCCTTAAGAAACCTAATGTTTCAACAAGGTTTCACACAGATTAAAAAACACCCGTATGTGTGAATTCACAGATTACTACTTCAAGAGACACAGTTTTGGGTAGGCAACTTGATATTTTTCTAAACCAAGAAAAAAATGCTAATTAATACTCTACACCATTAAAACTCTCCATCACTTTAATTTCTGCTTCCCTAATCTCTCTGCATCAATTCCTAATTTAGCTCTGAACATGTGCAACTAATTTAGCTCTGAACATGTGCAACTCTTAAGAGTTACAGCCACCTGAAGGCCTTTGGCTGTTCTGAAGAACTTCACTCATCCTTCTTGTTGCATTTCTATGACTAGCATTAGCTCTGAGAGTCACCAAAGAGATGCTGTGACACCTCTCTATTTTATTTCTAATCTCAATGTGAATTTTGGCTTACAACCATGTCCCTTAGGATCAACAAGGCCTATGTATGTGGGATTTGCAGTTGTTTGCCATGATAGTCCTCCTGTCAGCTATCTGCAGCCATCCCCAATTTTGCTTACATTCTCGCCCCATATTCAAGGCCCAGGTGAAATCCAGTATTAAGTTGCAACTAGAATAGCCCCATTGAATTAGTGGGGGTTTGATGAATCACCTCCTCCATATGTTCCACTGATTCAATGGGCCATCTTTAGTACAACAACTTTCTACTAGATTTTAGGCATTGTTTAAATTTAGGGTAAATTCTTTGCACATAGACTTGTACAACGGTGCCTCGCATTACGACGTTAATTCGTGCCAGCGAAATTGCTGTAGAACGAAAACGTTGTAATGTGAAAATAAAAAGCCAATTGAAACGCATTGAAACCCCTTCAATGCGTTCCAATGGGCTGGAAACTCACTGTCCAACGAAGATCCTCCATAGGGCGGCCATTTTCGGTGCCTGTGCAGCGAGGAATCTGTCCCAGAAAACAGCGGGGAGCCATTTTGTTTACCCGGTGGCCATTTTGATACCCCTGATCAACTGTTCTAAAATCGTTGTTTTGTGAAGAATCAGTTCCTGAAGCAGGGAACCAGTCATCGCAAAGCAAAAAAAAAACATTCAGACCATCGTTTTGCGATCGCAAAAAGATCATCGTAATGCGGTTTCGTCGTAATGCAGGGCAATTGTAAAGCGAGGCACCATTGTATTTTGTTAGTAACCCTACACACTCTGTGCAGGTGGTGCTGTTTGAGAAAGTGAGTACTAAACTTTGGTCTAAGGGCGGAGTGAAAGGGGCAACAAAGTAAAATATGGGCTACTGTATCTGTATCTGTTGTACTAGGACTAAGGAAGCTTGGTTTTAAATGCCCACATTCAGTCATGAAGCTCCCTGGGTTTAAAGCGGCCAGTCACTCTTTCACACTGTAGGATGGTTGTGAGGACAGAATAGAAATAGAGGAGAAACATTGTCAACAATTCTGAAGCAAGGAGGGATACCAGTGTGGCAATGAAAAGATGGAGGAGGAAGGTTGTTTATATCTTCAGTCAGTCTATGCACAGAACCCTGCTGTAAGCCACAGGGAAGTACAGTATGTTCTTATTTAGCAAGACTTCAGAGGCCTTTGGGAGGGTTTTCTTGTGCCTTAGATTTGCTTAGGGAGAAAGAGGAGCCTGCCAGGCAAAACGCAGTCTGTGAAACTCTTTGTTCAGTTCACCAGATACCCTGTATTTGCCTTACACAACAAGGCATGTGCACTTTCTCTTGGACATAGAGGTACATGCAAGCACAGCTCCAAGTAATGCCTGAGGTCTTTGATGCTTGTCTTCATTTCATCTGACCTGCTCTCTTCCATTTGTTTCCTGCAGTGTTTTGCTGACGGTTGCTGCCTTCCAGGTTTTAAGCATTGGGCCTGGAGCAGCCTTTGCAGCTCTCTCCTCATCGGCTGCCCCCATCTTTGCAACCGGAGCCATACCACATGGGGAAAGCTGTTGTGTTATTTTGAATGGCTGTGGGCTTGAGGAAAATGTCGACACATAGAAAGTAGCATTCTTCAAACAGGGCCGGGTAAACAGTTGCCAGAATCTTCAAAATCCAAAAGTGCCAATGCCAGACATTGCATGAGTTTTCTATTTATTCTGTAGTACTTGTTGACCACAGGAAGTTCCTGAAGCAAAGCTGTGGGAGTACTTGCTTCCAGTTTCATCCACACAGATAAACCCTGGGGCTATAGAGCTATCTTTTATATTGTCACTATGTTTGCCATAAAGATATCTTGAAAGAAGCTGATGGAAACAGAACAGATGTTTGCTTAGTAGGTGAGCTTGTCTGGATTGCATTTTTCTCTTGTCAAAGCGTGTAGTAGCTGATGTTTTTGCAAAGCTGATGTTTTCTCCTTGGATTACTTTGTCTGGTGTAGTTGTTGGCTAATGTAGTTTCCGTCTGGAATATTTTAGATGCATGAGTAAGAGCAGAAGGCATTGCAGTACCCGTATCTATTTAGAGCTTACCACAGACTCTTATCTGTATCTGTATGGGCGGTCTTAAGAAAGACATACTGCACCAGGGAGAATACACCTGCTCTTCTAGTTACTTAAGGTGCCTTACTCCTAGACAGAAGGCGTTTTATCATCTCATTATACATTTTCTGTGTGTCAACTTAACCATCAGTCAGACTGGCACTTGAATGCAGGACAGATGTTTACAGAACAAACATACCATAAATACTACTTCTGCGTAAGAAGGGGAATTGATTTCTGAGTAATTTAGGGCTTGTTCAGATGAGCATTTGTCCCGCTGTTTAGTGCATTGCAAGGGTGAATTAATTTGCTCCCTTTTTCTGGCAACCCTATGATGTAATCACTAGAATGGACCAATTTGCTGCCAGAGCATCCCCACCTGCACCTTTTTGAGCTCCATGTCAGAGACTTCTACTTTTCTGGGGTGTGGATTAGTATGGTCTAATTTACTTCATTCCCAGTGCACGTGATTACTAAGAACAGAGCCTTAAGCTGTCAAATCTTCCAGGGCTCCTTCCGATCTCAATTTCCAGTATTGTAAAGTGGCTTAATAACTGAGCTACTTCAGAATATTGGCAATTTGAACATTTCCCCTGCTCCTCTGTGGATGGGCAGGGAAAGTGAAATTAAGTTTATTTTTATTCTGCTAGACTATAGCTGTTATGTTGGATCACTTAGATTATTTTTTTTCTTTGCCCTTGTGTTAAGTGCTAATCGAAACCATAGCTGGGGGTGGTTTCTCAATCAGAACTAGATACAAGCCAAAGAATCTCTTTTAAAATTAATCTAAGTGATTAAGTGCACCAGTGATAATCTAGCACAGGCAAAAATGATAATTTCATTTACCCTTCCCCTCTTCAGAGGAGCAGAAGTGTTCAGCTGACAGTGGAAAGGGCCAGAGAGTCACTTAAGGTCAACATGCCACTTGGATGTGAGGCTCACGCCAAATGGCATATCACTCTTCCTCCTGACCTCACACAACCCTATTTAGATCACACTAGTGCACACTAAAAGTGTGGTTGCACCCCTTACTTACAGGTAAGGATTCATACACACTTGTCTGGCACTTTGGGTCCATATTAATGCTGTATGATGTTCACATGCAAGGAGTTTCATAATTCATAGGTTGTTTCTAGTTCAGATTGTAAACCCAGCTCAAATCCCAGTTAAGCCACGGAGTTTACTGGATAGCCATGGTCAGTTAGTTCTTCTCAGTCTAACTGTCCTCACAGGTTCGGTTATAAAGATGAAATGGACATCATGGATGTGGAGGAAAGAGGACAGCTGAGAGAATAGTATATAAAAAAGGGAAAGTATGAATGGGAGAAGATAGAGCTTGAAGATATGCATCTGACAAGTATCCCTCAACTATAAAATTATGCTTGATACATAATATTGTATGTATTTTATACTTTGAAGGTGATGGTAACAAGCAGTAGATGACTCATAGAATTTTGAATCTGATTTGAGTATTTTTATTTAATAGAATTTCAGTAGAAAGATAAATATTTTGTAATTTGGAAAAGTTACTTGGTAACATGGTAAAATATGGCACATGGAAAATTTATTGTTTTGTACTTAACATAGTATGAACAGCACTGAGTTGACCTTACGGCTAAAATCCATTTTGTATGGTTAGGGGCTTTTTTATTTGTTTTCTTTCTAGGTTACATACAGCAGTAATTTTAGGTTTGTATCATGCTTTAATTTTAAGAGACATACTTTTTAAATCAAGATCTATTTTGATAATTAGGGGAAAGTCTGTGGTTTATCAGACTTTGCTGTCAAGTTGTAAGTTGTGCGATGGTATGTTTATAATCAAAGCTATGAGTATAATCAAAGTTCTTGGTAACTTCAAACAATGTTATTACTTGATCAGTTCATTGTGTTCTTAGCATATTATTCTTTTTAGTCTCAGGTAAATCACCATACTTCTGCCAGTAATGAAACCTATCAAGAACGTTTGGCAAGATTAGAAGGAGATAAAGAGTCTCTCATATTGCAGGTACGTAATTTACAGCATCTTTGGACAGCTCTGAATTCAGGCTAGTCTCTTTTACAAGACAAAAGCCTTGAATGTTATTTTTAAAAATGCCTATGAAATGTGAAATAATTTCAGATCTGACCTGCGTGGCGATGGAATCAATTTATCACATTTTGAAATGTCATTTAAAATGCAAGAAAGATCCTATACCTTACATTTGGAAAGCAGCATCGATTCACTACCAGTTTAGTTCTGTTTTGCTTTGTGTGTTTTGAAAGGTAGTTTTCTGTTTAAAGAATCCTTGTTAAATTATTCGGATAGTTTAACTTAGTTTATTGATACTGATAGAGAAATAAAAGAAAGCCTCAAATGGTAGTTTCTCTGCATGTTAAATATTTGGCACAAGTAGACTGTGGATTCTACTATTTGGCACAAGTAGACTGTGGATTTCCTTTTTCCAGGAAAAGGAAAGGGTGAGCGCTCTTTGAGTCGTTATTGACAAGGTGCAAATGACTCAGTTGTATTCTTTTCACATTAAAAAACAACATCATACTGGCCTTGTTTATAGTTTACATATAAACAACAGTAACATGGTTGCAACTGTCTGTGGCTGTTCTCATGTCAGTCACATTTCTGCACTTCACAAGGTGTTCATTTACGAATTCCTTGTATATAGTTCATTGCTGACGTGCATGGCATTTTCAAAACTAATAACAAAGAAGGGGAAACACCCCCAAATTTTGGCTGTGGAATTGACTTTGAAGAAATGCCCATTGAGATACATTCATACAGACCCTGGAAACGTAAAACTCTTGGCTGTGACTGTTGTGTTTTATTAACTTCCCTGATCCATAGCTTCTTTTGACTTCATGGATATAAGCCCAGAGAGGGGATTTGATGCAGTGAGGTTCACACTTAAAAGGTTCTTATGTTCAGTGAGATATATTTTAATTCTCACCTGCATCCACACTGGAGATCTCTGGTGAGAAAAGTCCACACAGGTTTTTGGATTGCCAGTTTAGTCACATATAAGTGTACCTGGTTTACTCTTGAGTAACGCAGCAGCAGCAGCAATACTGGTGCAAGGGAGAGATGTTGGGGGAAGGTTGGGGAGATGGAAGGAAGACAACCCCTCCTTTTTTTCCTGCCCTTTTCCTCATCTGGGGCCCCTCTGAGGCTGCACTGCCTTGTGGGACAGAGTCAACTAGCCTCCTTCCCCACCTTTTCTCACAGCCATCATTCAGCCAGCGGCAGCGGCTTTCCTTTTTGTTGTTGTTGTTAATTAAAGTGAGTGGCATATTGAAAGGGCAATGTGATCACCTAGCATGGTATCAGAATTGCATTGTGTCAGTTAGAAAATATTTTTTAAAAGAAGATAAAATAGTGGAGGGGGCTTCTCTATTCTCCCTCTTAAGGCCACCACCTACCTAATAGGTCACAGGGTTGTCTCCTTAGATAATACTGTCCACAATTCCTAACCATCTGCACAAGCTACCCAATGAGAAAATTAGGTTTGTGATGCATTCTTGTAGAAATGGAAGGCATGTCTGTAAGTGGTGTTTCGATGACATAGGCAGTTGGGACTTAATATTCAAAACTGAGAGAACATGACTCCACATCCGTTCCTCTCCCCCAATTATCCTCTGAATTATTTTTAAAATAAAATTTATATGATATTAACTTGTTTTCCTCACCGTGTCATCTTATCACTGGCGACAGGGGGATTATTTCCCATATTTTTGCCCCCATCAATTAGTTCCCCATTAGATTGGCAGAAGTGGGACCAGTGGAAGGAAAGAAGGTTGCTATGGGCTGGAATGTAAATCGCATTACTTCTAGTATAAATGGTGATCTCCCGAATCAGTCCTCAGTTCCTATGTAAGCACTGACTGCAATTTCAAATGTAACGCAGGCTGTGAATCAAATCGCAACAAAGCCAAATTGCTCCGAGGCTGTAAACTTAAATGCTGTTCTGTGGACCAAAAAGTTTCTCTTCAGCCTCCTTGTACTTACACAATAACCCCACTATGATTTTTAAAAATTGAATTGTACTACATAGGCTGCTGATGCCATTAAATGTCATGATAATTTATTGTGGCTGTTCTTATACAGTCAACCCTCAACTTACAAACAACCCTAGTTACGAACATTTTGACTTACGAACCGCTCTGACAGGAAAATACGGACTCGACTTGCAAACTTGGATTTGAGTTACGAGCGGGGAAAAAGTGCGGGGAAGGCAGGGAGAGCAGGAAATTTGAACTTTCAGTTAGCGAAGAGGCTGCTTGTCTGCTTCCTCGCTCGTCCAAGAGAGTGGGAAGAGAGACCTGGGACTGCCTGGTATTGTCATTTTTAAATGTAAAATTTAGTTCTGAAGTGCTTTGTTTGGGTTAAATGGTGCTTGGGTAAAAAGGAGCTCCGTTTGAGTTAAAACCTGCTTGGGTAAAAACGTGCTTGGTTGCTTTAAAAGCTGCTTGTTTTGATTTAAAAAGTGCTTGGTTGAAAAGGTGTCTGTTTTGGTGTAAAAGGTGCTTGGTTTAAAAAGTGTTCTTTTTAAACAGTATTCGTTCATTCCCTCCGTGGTTTCCTGCCTTTTTTTTTAATCTTCACCATCTTAGGCTAAAAAAGAAAAGAAAAAATTGTGCTCCTAGTGTTAGGAACGGATTAAACAGCTTTGCATTAGTTCCTATGGGAACTAATGCTTCGACTTACAAACCGCCAGTCAACCTAAGAACCAAAAACAGCAGGAACGGATTAATTGGTTTTCAGTGTACTCCTAGGGGAAATGCTGATTCGAGTTACAAAATTTTCGACTTACAAGCTTCCTTCTGGAATGGATTAAGTTCGTAAGTCGAGGGCTGACTTTTTTACCTTGGTGTTCCCAAGGTTCCCAGTACATTTTACAAAGAACAAAATGGACAGTATTAGAGATGGGCACCAACCTTGGTTCAGAGGTTTGTGTTGGCTCATACATGGTCCCTTCCCACACCTCCACAGCTAAATTCCCCACTCACCAGTCGGCACACATTCTTCTCCTCCTCCTCTTCTGTTAATTTGACCAGTCTCCAGCAGGAGCACAGGACCAGCCTCCCACTCAGACAAGGAGGCAGGACAGGCAAACCTGTGCCTCTGCCAGGGACAGGTCGAACAGCCAGAGAAGAGGAGGAGGAGAGCGTGCTGCCACCCCAGTCATTGGCTGGGATGGCAGGAGAAAGGAACATGTCACACTTGTAGTGCCACGTGTATGAACCAGGATGGACTTCCAAACTGAGGTTCATGCTGGTCTCTGGAATGAATCCACAGTGTATGTGCAGTGGTGTGAATCACAGCTGCAAAAGGCCACTAGTTATTTGGCACTTGTTTTCCTCACAGTGTTCCAAACTGTGAGACTGGTACATGACAAAGAACACAGCCAAACATCTCCTTAACTCAGGCATTTACCAGTGTAATTTACACCTACGCCATAAGGATTCTAGACAATAGGTGGCCCTTGCTATCAAGTTTATAATCTAAATATCTTGCACAAAAGGAAACAGGACTGAGATGAAGGAGGAAAAAATGAAAACCATTTTCCTGATGTGTCTCAGAATTACGAATTCTTCATAATGAGACTTGAAATTAGGATGAAATGCTATGACCCTGTTGCTATCCATTAATAGAACACTATATTACAGTGTACTTTGCAAAGTGCCAGAGGAACTTCTGTGCAGCCTTGTGAAAATCATGTGTTTTTGTAGCTAGTCTTTGGGTAGAATTTTTAGAGTTTTTGAGAACTATCTCGCAAATATGATTACTCTGCTTGTAAATATCTGAATGATCCAAAAGAAAGACACTTACTGAATTTCAGTTTTAAAAATCTTTATCAGTCACCAAAGACTGCTCAAATCAGGTAACTAGAGGAGCAGGTATTTAGAATTCTGGTTTTAGATATGATTCAGCTTGTTGTACTTCGTATCCAGGAGCTTTCCCCATGAATCTAGATTACCTAGAGAAGGCTTACAATTATGTACTTTTACCGAAGAACATAAGGTGTGGCTCTGACGCATACCTGCAGTATTTCTTTCCCAATTTTTGTTAATAGGAAAACACTTGGAAATGAGGAAGGAAGGAGATAGAGTCAGAAAAATCATGAAACATGTTGATCAGTTTTATTCCAAGATTCACATTTAATGGAATAAAAGAAATATAGAGTTGATCTGGATAGCAGGCAATCCCATAGAACTGTCTTAATTTCCAGAAGATGTACAAAGGTGCGCTGTTACTTTTAAAAACTGTTTTAGTGATAACTTTTCCTGCTTTCTCATAGAATTTAGTTAATATTTACTGCATGGTATGACTTTTTTTTAAAGTGGTGGTTTCCACCAATCTTAGGTCTCCCAAAGAGTTATTTCTGATTCTTTCATATATAGTTTCACTGCTTAAATCATCCATTCATGTTTAAGCTTGTAATGCTTTGAACCTGTGAAAGGCAGAGCACTGCCAATGCTAAAACATGTCTTTTGTTTATTATGTTATTTAACTGCTGCACAAAAGCTTTATTTGATAGGTAAACTGTTCTCATGATGTTGTAAGAAGAAAGGTAATTGGTTGGCTTCCTAAATAACTTTTTCCTCCTGTTCTCTCCTGTCTAAGGAGAGAAGCTTTGGCAGAAGCTGAAAGGGCTCTGAATGCTCAAAAGCTCACTTAAAATAGGTCTTTTTTTCTCTTTGAAGAATTATATACTGTAAATATGAACATTTACTCTTCTGTGAAATTTTTTGAATAGGGTTTTTATCCTCCCATTATGTTTGTTTGCACGAGTTTTTTTTTTAAATCAAGAAATCCTAATGATTATTTTCAAATTATAATGTAGTGGCTTTTAAAGATAAGAAACAAATTGTCCTTTTGAGAATAGTTATTTATTTAAAAGGTTGCTTGAACCAGGTGAATATAGATAATATCAGGAGAAGTGGAAGTTTAAAAGCACTGTGGAATGGAAGACAGAATGTGGTTTCAAATATCCCTTTGAACGTAAAGCTGAGCGAATAACCTTGAGCCAGTTGATTGCTCCTTTTCAACCTAATCTACTTTACCAGGTTGTTTTGAGAATATGATGAGACTGTCCTATACTACCACCTGAAGGAAGAGGAAGACACAAGTAAGTGTGCTTATGTCAGTGTAGCTATCTTTTTTCTATTGCTGCAACTGATACATTTTCTTGCTTGTAGGCATAAAATAATTGTCTTTATGCTGCTGCTGATTTTGGTCCTTCATTACAGGTGAGCGTCCTCACAGACCAGGTGGAGGCCCAAGGAGAAAAAATCCGAGACCTGGAAGTTTGTCTTGAGGGACACCAGCTAAAGCTTAATGCTACTGAAGAGATGCTTCAGCAGGTAGGGGAGTGGGATTTTTATGAAAGATTCTCATGAAAAGACAAGTGCCATGTGCATGCCTGATTCTGTTGTCTCTTGAGCCAGGTGGATTGAATATGACTCAGTCTTCCATATAAATTGATTTTGTCAGCCACATTTATTTGTATGTATGTATGTGTGTGTGGGGGGGGGTATGGCAGCACATAGGAACATAAGAAGAATCTCGGCAGATCAGACCGAAGCCTTTTTAGTCCAGCAATCCATTCACACAGTAATCACTCAGTTCCATATGGGAAGCCCATCAGCTGCTACTGCATGACTCATTTCACATATTCTTTAGCAAATGATACAGAGATTTGAACTCTGGAGGTGATATATAGCTGTCCTTACTAGTAGCCATTAATGGCAGCAACATTCATGAACTTACCTGATTCCTCTTCAATTTATCCATGTTGGCAAACATCTCTAGGTCTTTTGACAGAGATTTCTATAGTTTAATTATGTTCTGTGTGGAGAAATGCTTCCATTTATCCCAAGTCTCCCATCATTCAGCTTCAGTGGATGGAGACTAGGTTCTAACATTGTGTGTGTGTGTGAGAGAGATCTCTGTCCACACCATGTATATCTGTAAACCATTTCCTCCTGTTGCACAGTTGTCCTCTCATGTGGAGAACTGCCTTGCCTTCCTTGTGTTTTTCAAAGCTGAACAGGCCCCCACATTGTATCCTTTCCTCACAAGAGAAGTTCCCTTGATCATTTTAGTTGTTCTTCTTTTACACAATTTCTTCATATAATTCTATAACCAGCGGGGGTGTAAAACAATACTGCTGTGTGTATTGTTCATTGTAATCAGACAAAGAGAAAGCAACAAAAGGACTGCATGTGGCTTGGAAACCTGTTGGACCAGTAGGTCTCCTCCTCCTCCTCCTTTTTTCCCCTATAGCACTTAATTCAATAAAGTTAGCAGCTCAGAAATTCTTTCCACATAGTTTGGTTTCAGACTTATCTTGAGGTTTAACGTGAATGACTTTACAAAGCAGTTAGTTTTAGGAATTGGTGGTATATATTTCAATCAAGCATTTGGGGAAACAATTGTACCAATGAATAAATGTTTGCACGCAGAAGTACCGTTTGATAATAGTTCCACCACAACATTGACTTTTTAAAGCAGCAGACAATGGCAGGTTAGTTTGTAAGATTGAAGTCCTGTTCTGGACTTACAGCCTGAAATGGTGTAAGGCCTGAAGCATATTGGAGATGGTGGTACACACACAAGACCTTCCCGTTCTTTATTTTTTTTCTCTCACACCTGGAAGTCAAGCAAACTTTCAAGTTTTAGCCACAAATTTCATCCAGTACATTCAACCCAACATATTTTATAGCATTTCCTTGGTTGGGAGTCCCGGCTAGAGGATAGAGATGGGGACAAACCAGCAAAATTGTGGTTTGTTGTGGTTTGTGGTTCATCAGGGTTGACGAACTGTGAACCATGAATTTCCCCTGGGTTTTACAACGAACCATAAATCAGTTCATCAGTTTGTCGGTGTGTGTGTGTGTTTAGACAGCCCGTGGCTGTCTAAAAATATAAATAAATAAAGCTGAGTCCCCCTGCCTGCGCCCACCCCATTTTCACTGCTCCTCTTCACCTTCCTACCTTGCCCTGCCACTGCTGCTGCTGCCGCCAGAATGGAAGCTGTCGTTCCTACAGGTAGCCAGCTCTCTCTGCCTCTGCATGCACCAAACAGCTGACTGGCACACACAGAGGCAGAGAGCTGATAGGAACCATTCTGGCAGGCTAGCCTGCTCTCTCTGACTCTGTGCATGCCGATCAGCTGATTGGCACATGCAAAAGCAGAGAAAGCAGGCTAGCCTGCCGGAATGGCAGTTTCCATTCTGGCAGCCTAGCTTCCATCCCGGCAGAGAGAAATGTGCCGAGGAGGAGAGGCGGCGGAACAATAGAGCAGTGGGAAGGGGGTGGGGTAGACTGTGGGGCAGGGAGAGCAAACTAAGCTGTCAGAATGGCTGTTCCGGCTGCCTAGCTTGATCTGTAGGCCCAACAAAGGGATGAATAAAAGGGGTAAATATTCATCAATATGTATTCATCTTACACAATTGCCTACCCAACAACTCACTTCAAGGAATGGGGAGGTTACTGCCATTAAAGGCAACACCTTGCTTCCAGGACAGTTCACTTATCACTAACAGGTTATAACATTTATTTACCACTCACTTCAAGGAATGGGGAGGTTACTGCTATTAAAGGCAACACCTTGCTTCCAGGACCTATACAGTTCACTTATCACCAACAGGTTATAACATTTATTTACATAATTTGACAATTAGTCTCAGTGGCATAATCAGTTTTTTCTGATGGAAAGGAGTGCCAAGCAGAGCTTCCTGTTGTGGGTATAACAATGAGGACAGGAGAAGGTGGAGCCCAGAATATGTAGAAAATGTGGCCTAACCTCTGAGAAGGAGGTCAATGGAGACTCCTCTGAGGAGGCATGGGCTCCTCTGGGGCTAGTGCACCTTTTCCTGGCTTGGCTGCATCTTACAGATTGATTGCTGCCTGTGGTGTTCTACCCAATTATGGCATTTGGGTTCTCCTTGCTCCTGCTTCTGATACACTTATAGTATCTTTGTTTGATGTATTACAACTGTGACCACAACTCCTTTCCATCTACATATGGACATCCAATTCCTCCTTCTAGCTGCCATTTGATACATGACAGATTTGGTCATAGTGTCTTTCATTTCTAGATAGTGACAGCAGATCTTATTTGGCATTACATCCAATTCCTCCTTCTAGCTGCCATTTGATACATTACAGATTTGGTCATACTGTCTTTCATTTCTAGATAGTGACGGCAGATCTTATCTGGCATTTTAGGAGTTCAGTTCCACTCTGTGCCTCTTTGACAGGGACTGAACTTGGTGATTCATAGGGTCTCTTCCAGCTCTGCAGTTCTAAGATGATGATGATGATGATGATCAGTAAATAAGTAACTATGCAAATAATGACTGAAATCATGTTGCTTAGTGTAGTAGGTTGCATCAGAGTAAACATGTTGAATCACTGAAGATTTGGCAAGTCAGCTCCTCCATAAATTCCATTGGATTCAGTGGGCCTCCTCTAGTTGAGACTTACCACACAGGGTTCCAGCCACTGTATATATAAAATACATAAATATTTTCTCTAGGCAGGCAGTATAAATTGCAGAGATGTTAAAGGTAAAGTATTTCTCCAAGGCTGTGTTGCAGGGACAAATCACAATTCAGCATGCCAAACATCACCACACGTCAAGATGATTTTGGCAACAGCTGCATTGTGGCTTGTATCCACGGCAAAGTACTTATAAGAGTTGTTGTTATTGTTATTGTTATCATTATCATTATTATTAATGCTGCTGATGATGTGTGTTTGTTTGTTTGTTTATTTATTTATTTGCTGTGAGTGTGCTTATATCCAACACATTCTATGCACCTGTATTATCTAGGACACAAAGAAGAGAGATACATTACCATGCAGTCCCTAAGGCATTGGTATCCAAATACCATTATGTCCTCAATTTTACATTTCTGATGACATGCATTTAAAGGCATAAAAGATGGGTTATATTGCAAATACCAAGACAACTTTTCTTCTCTGTGTTCTTTTTTGTCATGAACAACATGCTGACCTATTCCACAACACAGTACATTTGTCTCTTTGATAGCTGTCTGATTTTGCAGTCACTTAACCTTCCCTTTTGGCGTAAAGCTTCCAGTCTAATCTTTTGCTTTCTCCTTCATTCCAACTGATTATAATGTTGTTTCATGTCTGAATCAGTACAACTCATCTCGTATCTTTCTTTTAAGCACTACCACAAAATGTTTCACCCACTTGATTCCCCCTGTGATCTTTTCTTGTTTATACAAGTTGGCTATTGCTTTGGCATTCTAGCATTTCCATTTCAGCCTGTTGCTAATTTAACTAGCTCTTTCTTCCTGGCTGTATAAGATTCCAGCTAAGTAAGTGTAAATTAAACAGACCTCCAGAATGGTCACAGACCATCACACATGATTATTTTCATGCACTGTAAACTAGCCAGCTTTGTTTCCCATCCTGCTGTTTTATTGTTGACTTCAGCCTTCCCTTTCCAGCCCATGTGGTAACCCAAAAGAAATGTCTCCTCTTTTTCTGGTGTTATAGAAAGTGAGCAGTATTTGTAATTAGTACTGTGTTGAATTGTTGGGGTGATTGTTTTTCAATATGAAAGTTGCTTTTTCTGGGTGGTGAAAAGATTTTTTTTTTCCACCAGCTCATCATCCAGTGTTCTAGGTGTGTAGTTTTTGCAACTGTTTGTAGTCCTTGCTGCCCTGACCTGCTGCTCCTTCAGTTCCATTTTTATATCTTGTAAAAATATGTTTGTCACTTCGTCTAAGCCAATCAGGAATCCTGTGTGGAACATTATGATTTCATAGCGCCAAATGGCCAGTCAGATTTAGCTACTTGATGATATAGCTGAGGTTAAACTACAGATTGCTCTTCGTTCCTTTCATTCAAAGTGTGAAGAAGGCACAGGAATGGAGAATTGTTCCTTTGCTTGAAGCAATTGGCTCTCTGGTCCTGTTATTACACACTGCTGGTTTGTGGTCTAAGCAGCAAGGTAAGGAGGTAGAGGCACAAGGTGGTGGTGGTGGTGGGGAAAGAATGTGCAAAAACTCAGGCATCAGATGGGAATGAAAGTGGCCACGACTTTGTAGGTCACACCAGCTTTCACCCAGCATAGAGGAATGGGTGTAGGCATTGGCAAACCCATTATACTAATCAATGGATCACTGCTCCATCCAGCTAGCTTACTGGGGAGTTCACAGGATGACAGGACACGAGGCTCCACAGGGGTTCTGAAACTGGCTAACATGGAAGAGGAGCCCCTGTGTCTTCTCTAGGTGGATCAGAGAGGAGACCTTGCCTCTTAGGTCTTCTTGGGGAAATCTTCGACCTAAGCTGGCCCTTGCTTGTCTTTGGGGGTAAGAAT